GAAAAAAAAAATAACATTGATGCAGAGAAGATAACTAATTTATAGTCACATCCAATGTAAATGGCCAAGGTCAGATGCCCAGCATCCTTTCCTATGCTATACTGTTCCATACTGAGCTTAAGGAGATTCAGAAGAACAGAAGAGGCATTTAGCATTCCCTGGAAGACACATGACATATTAAAAAAAAAAAAAACCCACAAAAGCTTTTTGACTTCTGCTAAGAGGCCTCCTCTTTAGTGGTCGGATACCAAGACCACATTTCTATGTGAATCCTCCTGAGAGTATACCTCCCCTCTGGAAGCAGGAGGGGTTCTGATTAGCAACCTGATCCAACTGAGTCTTACACATTAGTTTATTTTTTATTTTTTTTAAAGAATGTTTTCATTTCTTTCTTTTTTTACATTTATTTATTGTGTGTGTGTGTGTGTGTGTGTGTGTGGCCAGCTCAGCCCACCTGGGGGCGGGGCTGGCTGGCATGTGGTGCTGGGGGATCGAACCCAACCACGGTCCCTGTGCTTTGCCAAGCTTGTTACAAGTAGGTGCTTTAGACCACTGAGCCATCTCTCCAGCCCCTTACACATTAGTTTAGATTCAGCATCTAGGAAGCAGTAAGATGTTTAATTTCTAATTTCCCTGAGCCTTCCTTTACACCAGCCACCTAGGATCTAAGTATTGACAAGCATGATAGAGACAAGAATATATTTTTCCTAGATTTTTAACTTATGTAGGACGTTCATGGGAACCTGGGGAGTAGCACACACAGGCACACACAGGCACGTGCACCTCTAATGATAAACTAGTGAGGTAGATGTCTTTATTGGCTATTTCACTGATGAAACTGAAGTCCAGAAAGAGTAAGTGAATTGCAAGGCAGAATATATTGTAGACCTGAAATTGAACTAATTAGATTCTTCTGCAGTCTCTTCCTGCTCTTCTATTCATTTTGGAGAATGCCCTGGTTTCTACTTGGGCCTTCAAACCAGAAGCCTAGGAATTAGCATCCATAGCTCCACTCATATGGACCCAACTCATCACCAACTCCTGTGAACTCTGCCTCCTAAAAGTAGATAACCTTGCATCCCACCTTGCACATTCAGTAGCTTCTTGTTACCTACAGAGTAGCTCTGGACCTTCACATGACACAGTCAACCTCTTTCCAGCCAGGATGGCCTACTCCAAACTGTATTCCTTATTCCAAGTCCACACCTTACTATTTCTTCCTTCTTCAATTTTGTATCCCTCCCTGATCTGAGAAAAAAAAAAAAAAAAAGAAAGAACACTTTTTCTATAGGAACCACACTTACCTTCTCTGAATAGCCTTTGTGACACTACAATACTATTGTTCACAGCCAATGCAAATGACCAGGGTAAGATGTCCAATACCCTTTCTTATGCTATGCTACATGTTCCACCCTGAGCTTAAGGAGGTTCACAGGAGAAGTGGTATTTAGCATTCCCTGAAAATTACCAGATATATTTAAACACACACACACACGCATGCAGTTTGAGCACACTTCTTTTATGGTGCCTATCACGTTGTTCTAGGATTATTTTTCTCCACCAAGATTGAAGGGCAGAAATCATTAGTGACTGACACTTGCATCCCAAAGCCACAACAGGGCCCACAGGTGTGTTCAGTAGGCACTGGGAAAAGACCAGGAGCAAGGGACAGACTGAACTCAGGACAACTGGCCCTGTATTTTTCTTTTTTGATTTTGTGCAGGGTCTCATTACACAGCTGGAACTCATAGTAATCCTCCTTTTTCAGTCTCCCCAGCACTGGGATTACAGGTACTTGCCACCAGGCCCCAACTGGGTTGCTGGCTCAGCTCACCTGGGGAGCAGGCCAGCACAGCATGTGGTGCCAAGAATGGAACTAGGCCCCTGCACTTGCCTGCTTGCTATCTTGTGGGCCCTTGCCCAGTATTTTCATTGCTCTGTGGGTGTGAGATACTGTGTGGGTCTTAATGCTTCAGTGTATCTGAAGCAAAAACGATAGTACAGTATTCCTCCAAAAGAAGTCAGTTTTTAGGTCGGTGAGATAAGGTAAGGTACCTGCTTAGGTAAGCTTAGCAGGACAGGGGAATGGAACTGTGGGTTCCATTCCCAGCACCACAGCCCTGCCCTCTGGTTGGACTGAGCCAGCAAAAAAAGAACAGGAAGGAGAAGATGAGAAAGAAGAGGAGGAAGAGGAGAAAGAGGAGGAGTAGGAGGAAGTGGATGTGGTAGTCAATTTCCACACAAGATGATGACAGACAAAATTGGAGTGGGCAAAGCCCAGGCTTTCCACCCTTTCAAGGGGGCTCATTCCTGAGGACCAGTAAGTAGCGCATACCAATGAACTTCAGAAACGTTTCAGCTGATGGCACCCAGCATCAGGTGACTAGGCCAGAACTTTGGTGGAAGGTATGAAGAAGACAAGTGACACTCCAGAAGAGGTGTAAGAGTGCTTCCTGCCCACTCCACGCAGACAGTTCCTGCTGCAAAACAGTTCTGAGGCTGATGGCTGTCCCTAGAAACTTGCAGTCCAGCCCTATGTTGTTTCTAAAATTGACCCCAAAGGGCCCGGGGAGATAGCTTAGTAGAATAAGTGCTTGCCTTGCAAGTGCAGGATCCTGGGTTCAATCCCCATTACCGCAAATAAATAAATAAATAAAATTGACCCCAATGAGCAGAGGTAAAAGTACTGAAGAGTCTTGCTCCACGCTCCAAGCAGAGACGTATCTCTGTGGCCTGCGTTTTCAATATATTTTTGTTACTTTAAAAGACATTCAAGTTTATTTCAAGTTCAACAGCAGTCTTCCCCTCCTCCTTCCTCCCACGCAAACACTCCCGCAGGCAAATAGAGACTTAAGCGATCTCCTGCTCCTTGGGCTTTTTCTCCTTTTGCCTGCAGAGATGGAGATGGCCCTTTCTGGGAACTGAGCCGCGGGTCACTGGGGCCAGTGTGGACAGGGGCGGGGAATGCAGGGTCACTGTGTGGGTGCCCCGAGAAGTTCGAGGGCGGGGCTAGTGGCCGACGGGCCTGTCCCCAAGGCAAGGAGGTGGAAGCCAGACCTCTCCCCAGGTCCAGGAGGTGCCGACGTGGAGGGGGTGGGGGGGGGTCCCGGGTCGCGCCCTCTGCGAGCCCCTGGCCCGCGCGCCGTCTCCTCCACGGGGGTTTCTGGTCGGCTCCCAGCTGGCCCAGACTTGCTCTGAAGTAGGAGGAACCGCTGTCGAGCGGAAAGTGCACACCGGTGATTGATGAACTCTTAATAGGACGAGCCTCTCCCGCTCCGGCTCCCGCCCCCGCCCTAGCGCGCAGACCGCCCCCGCCCCCGCCGCTCCTACTCAGGGAGGGCGGTGGCCGCAGTCCACAGGCTCTAGCCCACCTTGGTCTTCCCGCAAGCGGCCCAGGTAGGTCCCGAGCCCCTGCAGCCTCGGGCGAGCGTGTCACGTGGTGACGCGACCCGGGCTTTGTGCAGCTGCGCAGGCCTAGCAGCTATTGTTCCCGCAGGGCTGGGCCCTCGGCCTCGGGGTCTTCACAATGCTCCCAGCCCGGACAGGTCGAGGCTTTGTGTGTTCTCTGCCACGCAGGCCCGGGATGGCGTCGTGGCTGTCCCAAGGGGTAGCAGATTGGAGCGAGGGGCTCTGGCGTCGCTTGCTCGATCCACTTTCCCACCCGGCCCACAGAGGAGGTGGAGTGGTTCCGTGTTTGTAGGGCAGTGCTGTGAACAATGGCGCCATTACCAAAAGGCCTTCTCCAGGCCTAGATCCGGGATGATGTGCTCTGCCCTGCTCTGCTGTCCTTGGCCGGCCAAGCCAGCCTTCCAGGCCTGGTCTGAAACCCTGCTTTTCAGGTTAAAATAGTTCCTCCACACCAGAGCTTTCCACGAACCTTGATTTAACGAAGAACCACTTCTCCCCCCCCCCCCCTTGGCTTGTATTGTTAAAATTCCACTCTGGATCTTCTTGATCTTACACTTCCATAAAGATGCTCCAGACCACCTATAGGACTCAGTCAGGTTGTTTCCCCATGCACTGGGGTGATGGCTCAGGCCTCTAAGCCCAACCCTAGGGCAGATAAGGATGCTAGTTTGAGGCCAGCCCTGGCTAAATAGCTAAATTAAGGCCAGTCTGAAATACATAACAAGACTTATCTCCCTCTAGCAAAAAAAAATATGTCATATATATAGATATATATAGTCATATGCCTATTGTATATCTTAGCATGAACCAAATTCTGGGTTCAGTCCTCCCCCCAAATTCTGGGTTCAGTCCTCTCCCCCAAAAGCACCTCATTTTTGTCACAAGATCTAGAACAAGAAGATACATGCAATAGCTCTCACCTTATATATCTCCTCGAGACCCTTCACCTGCCTCTACTTTTACAAATGACTGAATATCTGCCTCTTCCATCATGTGAGGAAATCTCTGGCTCACTTTATTTCACACTAAACTTGTCTAAGAATAGTTGTATTTTCCAACTCACCAAGGTGGGAGTGAGACCTGAGGGAAATGTTTAAGGATGGATTTCAAGTCAAATATATGCAGTACATTTGTTTGACACCAATGTTGGACCCCAAAGATAAAGACACTGGTAGCTGGAGTAGAAAACAAGGGAACAATGAGAACAAAGGTTTCACCCCCTGTGATGATCTTTTCAGTTCACCATCCTCTCTGTCATCACCAAAGCAGTAATTGCTGAGGATTCTTCCCTTTTTCTCTCCACCAGAGCATTTGGCAAGTGAAATCTACAAGAGCCAGCCCTGGAAGGTTTAGGTAAGGCCTTAGCTGAGGACAATCCACTCAACTTCCTAATATCTCAGTGTCCAAGAGTAGGCCTTCTCACCCAGGCCTGAATATGCGCTCTGGGAAGTCAGAGTGCCCAGGAGTGGTTGAGGCTGTATAAGCTTGTGGGGCCTGGGCCTTCTGTCTCTCTCTTGCTGACCCATAAAGTTCTGTTCTTTTTTGTTTTTTTTTTTTTGTTTGTTTGTTTGTTTGTTTGTTTCTGCTTTCAGTTTCTGAAAGAATCAAAGAAATACCAAGAACTTACAAATGAAGAGGACCTTCTTAGACCTATAACTGGGACTAGCCAATTCTTGAACTGCAGAAGCTTCAATTTATTCTCAGGATAAAAGTCAAAACAAGCCTGTGACTGTCCCTTGAATACTGAAGGTGTAAACAGGCCTCTGGCTTCCCCAGGTCAAGCACAGGAGCACTTGTTAGAAGGGAAGGAAGAGTTACTTCTTTGTTATTCAAACATACACCCACAAGCATCCTCTTCACCCTCCCTAATGAAAAGCCTCAACAGATGGAGAGCCTGGGCTCAGGGGGCCTGCTGGCTGAGGTTGCCCTTCACTGGGGCCAGCTAGCTGGTAAGATGGGGAAGAATGGAGAAGGGGCTAGGATAAGTAATCACTATCTTTTAATAGTTCTTACAGATAACAACTTGACAAATCTTGTTCAGCAAGGTGAGTACCCTGTGGGGCCTAGAAAACCAGTGTGGCTGTTGTATCTCTAATAGGGACAGGCTTAAAGCTGCATCAAAGGGAACATACTTGCACTGTATTACCTTCCCCTCTCTCATGTGAAAGCCTGTACAAAGAAATGGTACAAATGGATGGTTAACTTAATGATTCCACTGGAGATGGGTATTTCCCTGCCAGGTCCTGGAGTGAGCCTGAAATCTGAAACCCAGAAGGCAGAATCTATAGCTAATTGTTCTTTCTTACCTCCTGACCAGTGGCAGGACTACTGTTCAAGGCCTTTTCCTCAGTAGCTTCTGCAACCCCTGGTTAGCTCCAACTAGATCCTCCACTCCAGGCTGGGTCCTGCCTTTCTCCTGGTTGTAAGGAAAGCTCTCCTTCTGCTTGAATCATTTCTCACCCCAGCTCCTGCTGTGCAGCAAGCTATCCCTGCCTTAATTCATATTTGATTGTAGAGAGCCACCAGGAACCCAGGTAGATGGCCACTCCTCCTGGGTGGGCCTAGGCTTACAGCCCTGACTGCCCTCCCCTTTCTTGAGATCTTAAGAGACATCCCCCCCCCCCAGCCCTGAATGCTGTAGGTATTGAGGGCAAAGCAGCACTAGCGAAAGGCAGGAGTCTAAGAGCTATTTCTTCCACTTACAGGCAACCAAGGTAGCTCTCCCAGAGACCAAAGCCCCAGCCAGCAAGGGAAGGCTGGCCTCTTCGCGCCTCTGGGCGCCCCCTGTGCTGCCTCCTCCACGGTGGCCTCTGCTGCAGAACCCGTGGGGAAGCAGTGCACACAATGGCGCGCATGCCTTGGGCTTCAGGCTGCTCTGGGTACCCTCAGCGCAGGGAGGCCGAGAGCAACTTCAAGGCCTGAGTGCGCACCCCTTTCCCCCCAGAGCATTCTGCCCCAAGCGAGGCCAGAGCTGGGGTGGGGTTCTGCTTCCCCTGCGGACTTTGCCTGCAGGTACTGCTCTGGGTCCTCCCAGAGAAAAGAGGCCGCGGCCCTGGGTGCCATTGGCGGCCGGCTCCCCTCCCCCACGCTTCTTTCTTTGCTTCTGCGAGACCCGGGAGGGAGGAGGCAGGCGCCTCTGCAGATAGAGCCGCTATTGTGACCTTCCCTTGCGAGCGGGAACCCAGCCGAGTGCGTACCCGCTGTCGGTAGCGGGGGGAGGAGAAGACTGTGTGCAAACCTCGGCTGGGAGGGGGTGGCCCTGGGAAATAAAGGTTTGCAACCTCGGGCCCTTGGGTCCTTCAGAGGGCATTTGGTTGTGTTTAGACTCGGGCACTTCCTAACACTAATTGCAGGCTCAAGAGCGGAATTTACAGTGAAGGCCAAGGCGGCTTGTTTATAATTTATGAAGTTTTAAATGGTTGTGCCACGGGCTGGGCTCTCACCCGGGCGTGTGGCCGCGTGGAGCGTGCCCTCCTGGATTCGCGGCTGCCACCACCCGTGCCAGGAACGCCCGAGTGTGCCCATCACATGACTCACGCCAGTGACAGGAACGGATTGGAGCCACTTTCAGAAGTCTAGGGAACCTCCAGAGGTGGAAAAACCTCAGATTCAGCCCGGATCCACCCCCACCCACACATACACCTTGCAGAGGAGGGCCGTGGGGAGCCGCGGCTGCCTGGAGGGGGAGCCCCCAGCCCAGCACTTCCTTCGAGCCTGAGTGTGAGAGGAAGCCAATGTCAGCCTGGCGAGACACCGTTTAAAGTCTAATCCATGAAACCCTAAGCCACAGATGACACTTGGGGCTTTGCAGACACCCGCAGACTCAGCAGATCCCACTGCGGTAACACATCGCGCTGGAGAACGCCTGGAGCCATGATGCATTATGTATTTTTATTATTATTTATGGTAGGAAGAGGAGATGAGGGAAAACCCAGCTGAATCTAAACAGCCTGACGATTCATCTGTTTAATATTTAGCCAGTTAAGAAAGGTGGTTGTAATCCCTGAAAGGCAACGAGATCTTTGATTCCCCTAATAGCTTAAAAAATAATTTCGTACAAGACAATTAGAAATTTTGCCCATGGATGCAAATTTCATATAAAACAATGCTTAAGCTTTGAAAGTGAGTAAAATATGTCTTCGATTGAAGTCATTTATTCTGTTGATACACTTCTACAACATATATACTTTGAACCTCCTCAGATAAAGTGAAATTTAGCAAAAGAATATCCCTTCCCGCCCCCAGTCTAACATGCCATTTTAAAAACAGCACAAAAGAACAAGGAAATTAAATGTTTTTTGAGCCATCCTTAGTGAAACACAAACATCCAAATAGAAACAATTGTTGTTCCACCAGAAGATAAGAAGTTAAATTATTTCCACACAATAGGAATTTCACCTCTTGTCACCGGGGATGTAGTAGGAGTTGCATTATTTGTCAAACCAAATAGAGATGCGTGGGCTGACTTTGCTGAAATACAAAAGAATTGAAACTTATTTGAAGGCGTTTTCCAAGTGTCCCCTCCCACAGAAATGAGTGTAAGTCCTCTGCTCCTGGCTAGAGCCACACTATTTACAAAATGGTTATAAATCTTTGAAGACGTTTTCGCCCGTTTTGTACAAAGAAACAGAAGTAAACAGGGTGTTTATGTGTGTTATGTTCCAGCAGTGAAACTTTTATTACTTCACATTATGGAGAACGTTTGTTTTCTTTAGAAATGAACTACCCACCACTACAAAGGAAAAATTCATGACAGCATTTCGTAGAGAAAAAGCTTAGTTGCCTGTCTCCAAATGGTCATTTCTTTTTCCCTTCCGTACCTTAGCTTTTCATAGCTCAAATCTTCTTACGAATTCTTTTGTCATTTCCTTGATTGTCAGTTTTCTTTCAAAGTGTTTTTTTTTTTTTATTACTTAATGCAGAAAAATGAGCGCTAGCCTCCCTAAGGTGACTCGATTGTGTCTAGAGAGAAGGTAATGGAAGCGACAAGGCAGGCACTGCTTTGGCAAAGCCTTGTCCCAGTCACCCCACACAGGACATTTCTAGGTTTGCACCCTTACACCCCCCCCAAATATCAATTTATGTATTTGAATTCCAAATAAAATGTCTTTCAAAAGTCCATCTTTTTGTGAGCCTTCCACTGGGATTGTTCAAAAGATACAGGCAGGGTGATCTGCTTGCGAGTGTGTGATTAACACAGATAGACTTCCAACTGGGAAATTTTTTATTCTAAATATTTGTTCAAATAGTAGCAGACAATTTGAAATCAATAAACTGCGTCAAGTGGCGAGGGCTCCGGCTGTTGAGGAATGAATAAGGTGTGTCGTGCCATGCCACCGGGCTGCTTGACTCTACAACCATGAAGGGCAATTTGTGGTCTTAATCCTTTACATCAACTACAAACACCAGCCACGGTTACAACTGTTCAAAACTACTCTCAACTAGTTCAGACCATGGGGACTAAATAAAGGTGAAATGTGCCCCCCCCCAAAGCCTGGGAGCACGTTCCTAAGCTCAGCTGGAGAATTCTACAAATATCCACATAAATACATTAAGAGGAGGATAAATAATCAGGGAAACGAAATGAATCGCTTCAAATAATAAATACAGATTGTTTAGTCCGATGAAATCCTTTATGGGACGGGAAGGAGCATATAAATTAAGATCTCCGAAACTAAGCTAGATGCGGGCCAGGCCCAGGACTCTCCAACTCTAGTCCTGCTGCAGGGCGCACCGCTGATGGGTCTCAGACTTACCTTAGAGACACCATTACCAGATTAGAGTCCTCGGTCCGCAGTCTATGGCACTGTTAGGCTTGCGGGGGAGGATCCTTGCGGCTGATTTATGGCGAGTCACCCGAAGGAGGACGCGCTTGGAGGTGAGGCCGCATAGCCTCCGCCTCCGCCGCTGGAGGAGACTGGGAAGCAGCGGCCAGGCCAGAGCCAGGGAGGGTGTCCCCGAACTGCCCCTCGGGCCCCGCCCGCCTGCCACCCCTAACAATCAAAGCAAAGGAGGTAATAACGCCTCAAGTTTGAGCTGGCGGTGACCGCTACAGATGTGTCAGTTTGGGGGCCTCGGGTAGGCGTCCCTGAGAGGAGTGGTGGGCCGAAAGATCTGTGTAGGTGGGATGAGGGTCGCACGGTCCATGGTGGTGGTTGCCAGGAATTTGCGCAGCGCAACTGTAGTCCACGCTGGCTGAAGATGGATGCGAGAGGTGGCCCAGGTTGAAGACTGGCCCGGAAGCGGGCGCCATGGAGTCGACGAAGTTACCACCTACGTACACCGGGCTGCCCTGCAGATTGGCGCTGGGGAAGCCACCGCCGTTGCTCGCCATGGGGTGGGGCTCGAACTCGGGCCCTGCGTAGCGCTTCTGCTGCGGCAGGCAGCTGCTGAGTGGCGCCGTGTAGGCGGCCAGGCCGTACATATTGGGCTGTGATTTGGCAAAGGCCGGCGGCGAAGGTGCGTCGTAGGCCAGGCCTGGCACCGGCGGCAGCTGCCCAGAGTAGGCCACGTGGCCAGCGGCGCCGCCGAGCGGAGGGCTGCGCTCAGGGGACTGGCCAGCGGGCGAGTGCAGGATGCCCTTGGCCTTCTGGTCCTTCTTGTATTTCATGCGCCTGTTCTGGAACCAGATCTTGATCTGGCGTTCGGTGAGATTCAGCAGGTTGGCCATCTCCACGCGGCGCGGCCGGCACAAGTAACGGTTGAAGTGGAACTCCTTTTCTAACTCCACCAGCTGCGCGCTAGTATACGCCGTACGCACCCGCTTGGATGCTGGGCCCGGCGGGCTCTTGTCCTCGCAGGTCTCTCCTGGGCAGGGAGGGAGAAAGAGGGATTGCTGAGGGCGAGAGTAGGGACTCCGAGGAATGAAGAGGGGTGCTCCCTTAGCTCTGCCGGCCACCACCTTCCCTTTCCCTCCCCTCCAATCCTGGCTGGCTGGGGAAAAGGGGTTCCAGAGGTCAGAGTACAAGGGAAAACTCACACCCCTAGCCCAGATCTATCATCAGTTGCACCTGAACGCTGCATCGGCCTTCGGAAGCCCCATTCACTCTGCCCTCCTTTCTCCTACATCTCTGCCCATCATCTCATCCCAAAAGGCCAGAAAGGACTTTAATGAGAGAAGAGAAGCAGCTGGCTGTGCCTCGCCTCTGTCAAAGATGGGCCAGACTTCTCCTGGAACAGTCCTCTCCTCCCAGCCTCTGCTGCTGAGGGCTGTAAGCAGCTCCTCTACCTTGCTCAGGGGCTGGTTCCTGGGCAGTGCACCTCTCTGTCAAAGAACGCAGGGGTACAATCTTAACGCCTCAGTCCAGCACTCCCAGAGGTGAGGAGGAGATAAACCTCAAAAATACTGCCTTGACTTTTCCAGGGTTCCAAGGCCAGGCTGAAAGCATTTTGAGCAAGGCAGAGCGGGTGCAGCGGGCTCAACACGGGCTTCCAGCACCCCTGCCACCTCTCAGCTGCTTGTCCACTCCCTCACTGGGAAGACAAATGGATTTCTCCCGGGAGGGAGGGCCTGAGCTTGCACTGAGGAGGGAGGGGCAGGAGAAGCAGCTTACCGGCTGGAAGACACTTTCCCCCTAGGAGGAGCGGCCCCAGAGAGCTGCAGGCCAACCAGGGACCTGATAACAAGCCATATCCCAAGCCTCAAGCTAGCCCTGTACCTGGAAGCGTGCTCATCTATCTGAAAATAAACTGCAGTAGAGAACACAAGGCCAAAATATTAGGAATAAAACAGTCTCTGCAGAAAGAAGGAGCAGGTATCATCCACTCCTGTGATGCCTGTCTTCTTCATGTGCCCTGGATGGACCTAGAGACTTTCTTAAGCCAAGGGCATCCCTTGGCACAGAAAGAAAGCCCAGGCTGTTCCTGTTTCCCAGAACTTCCTTTCAACTTGGAATATGCACCTCCCTGTTATGGGCTTGCTGACCGGGCACAATGGGCTCAGCTGGGCAGGTAGTTTCATGGTTACACCTGATAGGCCCTGGAGTCAGACTGGTTGGATTCAAACCTATCACCTTGCAATTGTTTCAACTTGGGCAAGCTGCCTATCATCTCTAGTAGTTTTCTTACCTATAAATGAGGCTGTCTCATATACCTACCTCAAAATGTTCTTCGAAAAATTAGATGATGCTTATAAATTATTTAGCACAATTTTTCACAGAGCACTCCTTAGACTTTAGCTTTTATTAATTGATTCATGTGATATGAACTATAGAACAACCTGTGCTTGAGATATCTGTCTTTAAATTATGTTCCTTTTTTCTTTCTTTCTTTCAGACAGCTTCTCACCATGTTGCCCACACTGCCTGGCCTTGAGCTCCACGGCTGAAGCATACTTCCTGCCTCAGCCTCCCCAGTATACCACTGTGCCTAACTCTGTGTTCAATTTCTGAAGCACTGCTGGGTTGAAGAGGGGGCTGAGCTATAACCAGCAGCCCAGGACAGCAGATAATATGTCAATATAGTGAGGCACTTTCTACTAATAAATGTGAGATCTGCTCATTAGTGATGCTAGCAGCCTGAAATAGAAAAGAGCACCCTATTCCCACAAGTCTAAGACTCCAATCAAAGACAGTAAAAAGGAAGGCTATTTCTGCAAGAACAGGAGTTTGGACATATCTTCCAAGGTTTCTCTTAGGGCCCTGAGTCTCTTGGTTCCTGGGTGATTGGGGCTTCCTGGGGCCAGTCTGCAGGAAACCTGGTCCAGGAATGACCCCCCTCAGAGAGCTACCTGCAGTGGCACAGCTGTTCTTCTGCTTGGAGTTCTGTCGGGACTCTTTCATCCAGGGGAAGATCTGCTTGCTGATGGTGGCTGAGGAGTTGGAAGCATTGGGCCCACCCTTGGCCTTCTTGGCAGGCACTCCACCTCCAGGATTGGTGGGTGAGGATGGGGGCAGCGTGGGTGGTGGAGGAGGGGGTTGTGGTGGCTGCTGCTCTGAGTTCAGACCGGGAGGCTGGCTGCCACCACCTCCACCCTGGCTGTTCCCAGTGCCAGGTCTCATGCAACTGCCATTGAGTTCAGCCCCCTTGTGGGCTGGAGCTCGGAGAGGTGCAGAGCTCTGAATGGAGCAGGCAGAACCTGGGTAATCAGTGTCCAGGGAGTTGGCAGCAGCAGGGGGTGGGTAGGGCTGATGGGGAGTTCCATAGCCATAAGTGTCAGCGGCTTTACTGTAGCCATAGCCTCCGAAGAGTCCTGGGTTTTCATAATATGCAGCCTTCTGCATTGTGCACTCAGGAAGCTCCAGGGCCTGCTGACCCTGCTCAAATAACATTGACTACCACTGTATCCTTCAGCACCACTTCCAGTGTCTGCTGAGTCCTGAGAGAGCTGGGCCAGCCCCTGGGCTCCAGGTGACCTGCCAAGAAGAAAAGTGAGAGGCCCAGATGGGGCTGTCATTGGCAAGAGCAGTCATGTAAAAGGACTAGCCCAAGTTCTCTGTGTCTCACCCACCTCCTGGTGGGGAGGGATGCCTAAGGTTCTGGATCTGGGGGGTTATGAAATTCACCTTATTTGAACCCTTGGAACAGACAGAAGGAATTTCTCCTAAGCATAAAAAACATCTTGCCTTCTCTGTTGCTGAACTGTACCATATGGAAGGGTTTTTCTCTTACCCACCCCCATCAGTTTTCTTTCTCCAAAGCTATCAATTTAGCTTTTGAACCTGCAGAAAAAAGCACTATGGCCTTATACATTTTGCTGGCTGATTTTTCCCTAAATTGGGACTTTACAGCAGGCAAGGATGTGTCTTATTTATCTCATATTCTTAACATCCATTACAGTGCCCTACCTGTAACAGATGCTTTTTGAATAAATTAATTAATGGATTGATCTTTGGATAATCCTAGTGTTTTTGTTTGTTTGGTGCTGAAAATAGAATTCCAGATCTTGTACATGCTAAACAGATACTCTTAACTACTGAGCTATATCCCTTAGCCCATAATTCCAGTGTTTTACCTGGAAAAACAAAGCAGTATAACACACTCAGAACTGCTAGAACTCCCAAAAAGAAAGTTTCTCCCCCACCTGTTTTCAAAATCACAGCATCTTTCACGAAGACCCAGATATCCACTTTTCGATGACAGGGTAAGAATCGGCCCAGTTAGTTCTGTGGGTCAGCACTGTGAAATCTACAATGTAGAAAGCTAGGAGATAAAAATCAAGGAGAGGACTTACAGACCTCAGAGTTATTTTGCAACTCAAAATGTTTCTTTCATCTGCTTTTCTCTGTAGCCTTTACTTTTCCCCCCTCACCTTTTTAAAGGCATGCCACTAGAAATGGGTGAAGAGACCTAAAGTTTGAAATTCATATAGTAAGTGAATGGACAACACTGTACATTATAACCATCATTTTTAACCTGGATCTGTTATATAAATACGTATTATTATTGACTTCTCTGGATCATTATCCCACCTCACCCCTCACCCAACTCAGCCAACGAGAGAAGCTTTCTTAACACAATGAATGGACCTAGAATTAGAAGCCCAGAAAAATTCTACCCCTTTTGTATCCTCTGATTCCTGATGGAAGTTCTTGCCCACCCTCCCTCCCTCCCTTTTTCTTCTGAAAGGCTTCTAAGGAGTTAAAGTATAACCAGTGCCATTCAGTCACTTTTGTCTGTTTGATAAAGAAGACTCACAGTCAGCTCCCTGGCCTTAATCCTTGATTTCATCTTTCAGGCAACTTTCCTTCCCAAAATCTCCCCCCGAGCGTCTACTGTGGTCATCATGATGGGCTGTATGATTTAGACAGCCTATGTGTAGATCGCAGATACCAAATCATTTCTTCATGCACCCGATTTTGTCAATTTTCATCAAAGAGCCAAACAATTTTATATAATTCTTCAAACTAGCTTTTGTTTGATAGTATTGCTGCCCATTTTGTTTTCAAATGTAAATAACTATGTCATTTATCTTGATGTGCGATGGTCCTTCAGAGGATACTATAACACTAAAATGTTATGTTGTTGAAATGTTTCAACTGGTGTTCACAAATTTGTGCTGCTGGGATCTCTACCTAACAGTGCTAGACCAATTCTTTCCATTAATTTTCTGTATCATTGTCTGACTGTTAAATTTATGGAATAGTGAAAGGATAACTAAATTTTTATCCTATAGCCAATATTTATGTGGGTTTGCTGCCAGACCAAAGGACTTCACTTTGGGTCACTTAAGTTGCAGAGGTCTTTGGGGACCCTTCTTACAACCCTAAGCCTCGGCAGGTCTCTGTGTTCTCTTCTTGCCGCTGCTTCTGTCACTCCATTGACAACTGTGGAAGCAAAACATCCTCCTCCTGCTTCCCAAGTTGATCCAGTTTATCTTGATAGGGGGGCCGGTCACATTAAGAGATTCTTTACAAAATGAACAGGCTTATGGGATAGTTGATTTCACACACACACACACACACACACACACACACACACACACTAGCATTTTCCTAGAGAAAGCTCTATGCAGACGTCGCAAAAGTTGTACACATACTGAATAGTGTCCTGAGTAACCAGCCTGTTCTCTCCACTGTTTGCATTGTCTTAAGGAATTTCCAGGCCTACCAAATGATGATCCACTATTTTAATATCCATTTCCCTACAACCAAAGGCAGCAGCTGTATTGTGATCAGCTGGAAAAGGCTTGGCAGATCCCTGAAAATACAGTGCCCCTAAGACACCCCTCTCCTAAGAGCAAAACTTAAGAATATTGTTATGAAACTTTTAAGGGGGGGGGCTTCTTTCCAGAAATCCCTACTCCTTGTGAACTCTGCGTGAACCTAAAAAGCAGGAATGGGTCATAAATCACTTGGACAATGGTCAACTGTTCAGTGGCTCATCTTTTCGATACCCCCCCCCAACCCGCACGCTTTCTTTTCTCGCCCTTTGGTACCTTTGCTCATTTGGGCTCCAAGACCCACATACCTTGGGTTGAAGCCCAGCCCTTAGCGAGGGAGGGGCAGGGAGGAGGGTTCAGCCCCCTATTCTCAGTGGTCCTTTCCTAGCCTCTTCCTCTCCAACTCCTAGTCCCGGGAGTGGGACCGCAGCCAGCCACCCCCACCCCCTCCTGTGCCATCCCCTGCCCCTCTTGGGGAAGGGACATAAGTGGTCTGGCTGGTCTTTTCTCCAAGTCCTTGGAAGCCCATATCAGCTTAGAGACCTAACTAACTGCAAGGCCCGAAGAAAGAGGGGGCCAGCCGGAAGGAAGAGTCCTCGGTTCCTGGAGGTGCGAGCCAGCCGTGTCTCTGAAGCAGCGGAGCCCTGATACTTGCTCACTGCACTTAATTCTGCCCAGGATCAATACCTAATATGATACCGAATAAATAAAAGGCGCTCACAGCGGCCAGGGGACGGGGTTATTAAGCAGCTGGAGCTCTCACGGTGCATATCAATGCACCTGTCATTGTGGTTTGTAACAAAATTTATGACTGCGACCACGGCGGCAGTAAACGCTTCAGTAAGGAATGAAAAGAAAAACACTTCCCAAGGCCCGGCACTTTTCAGAAGTGGAAAGCAGGCTCCGCGTAGGAGGCAGCGCAGCAAAAGAATTCCCCACTCCGCACTTTTCCCGCTTGCGCACCCCTTGAGCAGCGGGATTATATAGAGCCGGCGCCGGCCTCTGTGGGCAGCTCTGCTCAGCAGCCAACGCGGATGGGACGCGCTCAGCCTCACCGAGGACCAAAGCCCCACTGCCCGCCTGCCGCCCGGGCCTTGGACTCCAGGAAGGCTGGAAGGACATGCAGAGGCCCACGGTTGCCCCTCGCCCGCCCGCGATGGCCCTGGAAAGGCTGGGGGGAGGAGGTCCTTGCAAAGGGAAAGGGAGAAGGCAAGTGTCGTCTCGTGGATGGGTGGATGGTACGGCCAGTAGTGCAAGTTGAAAGAAAAGAGGGAGGCGGTTGAGGGCCGGTTTCATCATTTTTCTCTCAAAAAATTTCTAAGGTGTGGGTTGGCCTCTGGTTTTCACCCTCCTTTGCCTAAACCAGGGTCGCAGAAGCTCACGGATCTCTTTGTGGTTGTCAAGAATCTCGCCGGGCATTAACGATTTTCCTCTCTCTGATGACTTTGCTACTTCAGGCTTTGGAAACTACTGTTTTTTGGGTTTGCTTCTAAAAGGGTTTCTTGCCCAAGTTCCTGGTCTCTCAGCCTGAGCCTCTTTGCCCCTCTAGGAAGCTCTGGATGTGCATTCTAAATCGCTCTTATTTAGCCAAGATAACTCAATACTGTAATACACCTTGCATTTAAGGCACTGGGCTCACCCCATTAAAGCACCATAAATTTGAAGGCCGATGATCGGTTATCATGTAACAGGCGGCAGTTCACACCGAGGTGATCCATTTCAAAGCTGCCCTTTGGAAAAACAAAAAAATAAAGCTGCCCTTTGTTTTATGTCTTGATGTATGAATCCTGAGATGGCTAGCTTGAGTCACAAGAAAAAATGGAAATGTGCTGGAAATTATTTTCAAAAATCACCCCCACTCACCACAATTTTGTATGTGTGTTTTTCTTGAATTTTGTCTCTAACTCTTTTTGTAGGCTCTTCGGTTTCTTTTGATTACTCTGTGGAGGCCGATCTGGAATAAAATGGAAAACTCAATAGCGGCCAGTTCTTTTCTTACAAACACATATCGAGAAGCTTTACCCCTTTAAGGGTATCATAACCAAAGTGACTATCGTATGTGGTGCCCACAGCCACTCCAGATGCCTTCTCCCCAGCAGAAAGAAGATCACTGGCTCCTGGGGAGGAGGCTTTAACCATCAAAAACCATGCCAGGATGGAGGAGACCATGGACCTCAACAAAGTGCCAGGCCCTCTGGCCAGTGCCGGAGCCAAGAGGCCCAGAGGTACAGGGAAAGCAACCCCCATACCTCCTACCTCCAGCAAGCTCTCAAAGCTCCTGGTCCCAAATCTAGATGGTAGAATTGAGGTGGGAGAGAGCCTACCGTTTAGGGCAACCAGAAAGGAAGGTGGGAGGATTCTAGACCTGGATTGAACAGCAGAACCCAAGCAAAAAGGATGCTGGATGCTCTTTTCTGGTTTGCACATTGTATCTTTATCTCAGATGTTTTCCTTGAGTTTAAGCAGCCACCCTACTCTTGATATGGGCTGACCACTTCTGGTAGGACTAGGCTGCAAGCCGCCCAAGAAACCACAGTCCTTTCCACCTCCACCAGCAAACACAGAGGAAGCTGCCCACCATTGCTGCTGCTCAGCAGAGGCTGGTCCCTGGTCAGGTGGAAGGAGAGAGGCATAGTCTCCCTCTTGCATCTGCCCTGCGCAATTTGTCGACTCAGTAGTTTGCAAACACTAAACTGCACCCGGCAAAGCCTCACACAAAGCGTTCAGGGCGCTTCTAAAGACAAGAGCGCACAGCCATAAGCCTTTGAAGTGACCTTTGGCTTGCGCCGCAATAACTCACCCCTTAATGAACACCCAACGGAAGCACCTCGGAGAGATCTCAGCCCGGTAGGGCTCCTAACTTTGCGCCCTGCTTCAGCTTCCCAGATGACCTGAGCCCAGGGGGGCTTGCCACTCGCCCGTTCCCCATCCCCCAGCCCACTCCTCAAACCTCGGTTGCTGGGCTGGGATCAGCTCGGAGGGCAGCGACTGGAGGCCCAAGTTAGTAGGGCTCTCTAGCTTGTGACTGCAGCGGCTTAATACAATACATTCACTGGGCAAATGTCAACTTTCGCTGCTTAATTTTTATTAATTTTTGGAAAAGGGTTCTTTAGAAGTAGGAGCATCCCCTCAGAGGAAGAGCTAAATCGGGAGGCCACCTAGGTCCTTGAAACTCGACATCTCTAGCTAAATTTTGTTTCCAGCATCGGAGGAACAGGGTAAGTTTGCTTCTGGACATTCGGGTTGTGTGGTGCGCTCTGAGCTCTGGGCGCTGAGGCTTAGGAAGGGGAAAAGAAAGAGGGCTCCAACTTGGCCAAAGTTATGTCACCAGAAGAAACCCCACACTTCGGGAGTGCGCGCCCTCCCACGCACACCCTCCGCCAGTCCTGGCCCAACTTTGGCCTCTTGAGTGGCCCACTTCACAGGCTCAACCCAGGCAGCTCATGTAATATTCTTTCCACAGTCAGACACCCGGAGAGCAGGCAGGAGCCCTGTCTGGGAGCTGTCAAGGAAGAGTTGGTTCCAGGCAGCCCCTGGCCCCCTACCCCACCTCACCCCGGGAAAACTCTTCAGGATAGGGCCAGCTTGGAGCCTTGGTGGGGATTATTGAAATTTTCAGGGAAGTTATAAGTGAGTGCTCCATGGGGCCAAATGAAATGCTGCTCGCAGTAATTGGATTCAGCTGACTAAGCTGGCAGCCGCTCAGCTCCAAGGCAGTGAGCGAAGAAAAATGTCCACCGACTTTAAGTTCTGATGGAGCCGAGCTCAGGCGACTGACAAAACAACTTTACTGCTGTCCTTTGATGGCAAGGCCCCTGGAAATTAGCCCACCTCCCACTGGGGCCTGTCCCAACCTGGGTTAGGGAGTGCTCCTTGCTTTCTGAGGTCCTTCCCTATGGAAGTCCAGTCCTGTACCACCCCAAGAGACCTCCATGAGCAAGGGAGGCTCATGGAGCCACTTACCCTTTCCTTGCCAGGGGAAGACCCAGGACTGATCATCCTCCTCTCCCCCAGCCAGGAACCAAGAGGAAGGAGCACACAAAAGGATGGGGGGGGGTATGGGGACCAATATATGATTTAGCTTTCACTCAGGGTTCTTCAGGTGAGAGGGATCCAGAAACATTAAATCTTTCCTATGCAAAACCTCTTTTTTTTTTTTTTTTTTTTTTTTTTTTAATTGCAGCAAACCCCTGGATTGGTGAGGCGAAGTGTGGAGAAGTCTCTCAAACTCTTTAGAGTAGTTAGGGGTTCTTTTGAATTTGGGGGACAATATCAGTAGCATTTTAGCTCCCAAGAAGAGAAATAACTAAGTCAACAGCAAGAAGCAAAGGCCGAGTGTGTGGCGCTAGCTCCCAGAACAATACAAGGAGCTGGCTGGCCACCGAGTTTATTTTAAATACATATAAATCAACATGCCTGCACCCAGCCCAGCAGCCCAAGACTCAGAATTAATATGATGCTCCATCTTACTTTGGCAGTGACAGTGTAAGAAAAAAGTTTCTTTTTATTCATTTCATTTTCAGCCCATTCATACAACTGCACATTTATTCTCAAAATACTAACTCAAACCTCTAACCCCCTCACCCGAACCCCCTCCTCAAACTGCCACCACCACCCACAATCCTGACACCCGCCACCCTCCAAGCCTGGCAAGGTAGGGTCCCCCTAACCTTATGGTAGGCAGGGAACGTCCCCACAAAGCGCACCTCTTTTCGATTAATCACAGTCCTCCTCGATGTATATGTAGAAGTGTATCTAAGTCTACGCGGGCTGCCTCACCAATTGGCAATAATCAAGATCACACATTACACAAAATAAATCATATTTAGTATCCCACTCAGGGCAACAAGCAGCCCCGTGCCCAAAGATTTCCATTTTGTCATGCAATTGCTTACCTGGATCTCAATTTATCATAAACCTGGTGTCCTCGGCCTCAGATTGGGAGCCAGTGGGGGGCAGAGCTAGCTGTCCCCCTTTGTCTGCAGACAACACCGTCCCAACCCTGGTCTTGCGTGTTCGCAGACGCGGCCATATACCCGAGCACACGGAATTCCCGGTAGAACGGAACCAGGCTGAGGTTCAACTACCAATAAACGCAGGAGGAACGAGTTCGCAGTCCCCGAGCTGGCTTCGCCTGCGCTGCGCGCAGGTCGGTCCACCCGCCCGCCGGTCCGCTCCCAGGCCCACAGCGGCGGCCACTCGTGCCCCCACCCACTCCTGGGTTCCTGCCCAGCCCTCCCAGGCCCCCCAGAGCTCGGGGTTTGTTTTGCTTTCGGAACGTGGTCTTTTCTGCATTTGGAGAGAGCCCCGGAAACCCCCTCATAGTCGGGAAATAGAAACGCTGCCTTCAAATGCGAGCATATTTGTTCACGTGACCCCAGGGAAGATTGTACTGATTGAGGCTGAAACTTTCACGCCATCCAGCCCCGAGCGCAGCCAGGCCTGGGGGCTGGGAGGAGGGGCGCGGGAGGCGTGGGACCCGGGCGCCCCCCCAGGGGCAAACACGGGTGGCTGTGGAACCGAAGCAAAGCCTCCGTCCTGTAGCCTCTGACCTACGTAGCCGCCGCTTGGCCGCACGAAGTGGGATATGGGTTCGAACAGTGCCCCCAACGACCTCTGACCCTGGCCAGCTTTCTGCCACACTGGTCAGGGGGTTGGAAATTTTAGAGGGTGCCTCTTAGGGACGCCTCGGGAAAGGGTTGTGAACCGGCAGAAATATAGGGCTACCCTAGATCTCTGGTGAACCCGATAGGCAGCATCTGCGTGCACTGCACAGAGGTGAAGCTCCTTCTCCGTCTTCTGGAAGGAGCCCAATAGTCTCCATCCCCAGGACACAGTTAAAGTGTAGCACCACACAAGCTCTGGGCTACAGATGGGAGCTGCTGGCTGTCACTCTTAGCTGGTCACCCAGGGAAACGTCCACCATCACCACTGCCACTCCTTGGGGCCTTTGCTGGTCCTTCCACCCACGGGCTCAGCAGAGAAGCCACCATTTATGAGCCAGAAAAGGTGCCCAGCAGCTGGCCAGGAACTTGTCCAGCCCTTTCTCATCCCACCCAGGTCCTTAGAGGCCTGGAGCCTCGTAGGCACTAAGCTGCTACAGCGGCAGCCTGAGCATCTCCAGATCTATGCAGTACTCATGGATCCTACAGGCCCAGCGACAGCCTGGCCGCCGGTTCCCGCTTCCTGAGGCGCCACCAGGAAGACAAGGGGGACTGCGGAATCAATCCTGGCCGCGCTGATTTGGAGGACAGGAAAACTTGTGTTTTAGAAATATTAAATCAGAACAGGATCACAACTCTGTCCAAGTGGTAGGGTGGGGTACCCGGTCCCCATTCTGCATCTGGTGAGAACAGTGAAGCACACCTGGGCCAAGGGCTAGTCTCTATCTGCTGGCTTGTAGTGAGTGGCCAAGGAGCTCTACCAGCCCAGCCCACACCCAAGAATCCCACACTAGGGAGGCTCCACACTCATCCCTGAAGTCGGGCTTTAACACTAGCTCTGCTTCCTAGTCAAACGGGGCATGGAGGAAGCTGATGCCTTGTCCTGGTTACAAGGCAGAGTCCGAAAGAGAAGCATGGGAAAGGGAATGAGGTCCTCCAAACCTGCACCCCAGAGGTGTGTGCAGGTCCTGGAGGACCGGTTGCAAGCTTGAGTCCCTGAGCAGTAGCCAAGCTTCTCCTTTTGTTCACTTGTCCAGACCAGGACCAGGGCAGAGGTCCACTGGTGTCTCCCAGCTGGACTATGGGTGTCTCCACTGCACCCTCACACGAAAGGCCCTTCCCCCAAGCCTCCCAAAAGGGGCCCAATCTAAGGCCTGAGGCAAGTGTTAAACCCCAGCCAAAGAGGGGGGCTGCTTTGCGGGAATTTGTCTCCAGGAAAGGATCTAAGCCTTCTTCAATCGGAGCATATGTTCATAGAGCAATAAACCGGAAAGATTTACAGTCCTCACCCGGCCCCCAACAGCCTCACACCCTTTCAGGAATTACTTACGATGATTTATCACAGCAACCCGGGCAATTGTCACACTGATAAAATAGCCCAGGCCAGTGCCCGCCAAGCCTGGCTTGGGAGGCTGTTGGCTACTGGGCTGCCAGTGGGGCTGGAGAGACTTTTTGTGGGTTCCTCTCTTGGCCTACAAGGGGCTATCAGGGTGCATTGAAGTGGGTGAGGGTGGGAGGAGAGCCCATTCTCATTGAGAAAAATGCAAGCAGCTCAGAGAAAGCACCCAGAATCTGTGCCTGAGTCACTTGCTAAGCACATAAACATTTGTCATCTTTGAATAATTGAATTAATGTGTTATTGTTTGAATGTATAATTCATAACGGAGGAAACTTTGTTTCTGTCCTGATGGGGAAACACACACACACACATACACACACACCAAAAAAGAAATGAAAATACACAATCCCCAAACAACCACCACAGTAAGCCGGCCTGAGCTCCAGGGATAGCATCCTCCAAGTCAACCGGGCGACTCCAAGAGACAGACAGAAGAAGGCAAATAAAGAGGCAGTCCTTGTCCTGCCGGGCACCGGGTGGGAGCTGAGAGCACAGGTCCCCGGCCAACCAGGGGGTGGGTGGGGTGTGGACACTGAGTCTAGAATTGCAGTAAAAGGAGGTGAAACGGATAAAAGAAGCCTGCAGTTGCCGGGCCTCTGCGCGCCCGCGGCTCTCGGCTAGGGGTGGCAGGGACACCTTCCTTTTGCATTTATTTTTAGATCTTCAAAAAAAAAAGAAAAAAGAAAAAGAAAAAAAGAAAGAAAGAAAAGATACAAAAACACGGAGGAAAGAGGGAGACACTCTTGGCTGGGGTGACAGGAGCCGCAGAGCTGGGGCGGGGAGGGAGGAGAGTGGGAGAAGCAACTCGGAAATCATTATCTGTTGGTTAAAACCTGCCTGGGGTAAAATTTCAACTCGATTTTATAGCCTTCTATTATGACGCAAGGAAAAATTTACGACCCTCGCTTGAAAAGAGGGCCAGCGCCTTTTCTCGCCAGTTTAAGAATAGGCGGCAGATGCCGTGACAGCGACCATTGTTCCCGGTAGACACAGGCGAGCGGGCAGCCGGGGCCCGCGTGCGCCAGGCGCGTCCCCAGCGCGGCCGGGTTCACAGCTCCTGTTGTCTGGGCGCAGGCTGCGCCCCAGCCCCGCGCCCCGGCTCCGCGCCCCCTCGCGTCCTCGCCCGCCCGCCCCCTCTTTCTCACATACACCCGGTCGCTCTCAGTAATTTTTCATAAGTGCAAAGCTTTGCTGAACCAAAGGTCACCATCCGAGCCACTAACAACTTCTCGCCGGCGCGCGGTTCCGAATCAGGAAGCAAAGGGAACTATTTGTCAGCGACCCTGACAGCGAAGTTCATTAAGGATTTAAATCGGATGAAATAAAAGTCGCCGAAATATTTACCTGCCGGCCGCGCTCCCGCGCCCGCCGCCGGGGGCCGGGTGGAGGCCGGGGCGCCGGGCGCCCCTCGGCGGGCGGGCGGGCGCAATTCTCGGGATCCCTGCACTTCCCAAGTCGGAGAGAGCCCTTTGCGCGGCAGATTAATGACGACTCCTTGTTTCTTAAGGGACGTGCTGAATTAATTATTTCGCCAATCACGTGGTCGGGACTTGTAGAAATCTATTCTTATCATCTTCCTCGCACTTTGAAAATTCTCCGGGTTATGAAAGGCCCTCCTCCCCCGGCTGCCCGCGAGCCCCGGCCGCCCAGCGCGGCGCGGGGGGCAGGGAGGGCTCCCCAACATGGCGCGGGCAGGCGGGAAGCGCGGCCGCCTGCGCAGCCCGGGCCGGGGCTCTACCGTGCGCTGCGGGCTCGGCTGAGCACTCGCTCGCCCCTCAGCCCTGCCCGCGACTCAGTACACACCGCGGTATTGATGTATTGGTGGGCACAGGAGGAGCCATTAACCAGGAGACGGGCAGAGGACAATCATAAAATGTGTCTGAATATTTAAACTTCTGTCTACGCACTTATAAATACACATGTCCACGCGTCTGGAGCGAGCCCTTCCATATATTAAGGACACATGTCTGATTTTATGCATTTTGCTCATTTCCTGTCTCGAGCAAACCCCTCATCTATTTTGGGACTCCTGTCTTGGCCCCCTCTTCAAGGCCGAGGCCAAGATGTGAAAAAGCCCTAGAGATAAAAATAGTGTGGGGTGCTTTTTATAGTGGGGGAGTGTTTATTGTTGTCTGAGGGGCGGAGAGGTGCGGGAATAGGGGGGTAGGTGCTACAAGCCCCTTTGGGGCTGAGCAGCACAGGAAAAAGAGAAGGAGCCCGAGATTGGAGGCCAGCCAGGTCAGGTCAGAGCAGCCACCAGCTCGGCCCAGACCCAGCGCTCTCCTCCAACGTTGGGGAGCACGCGCAGGATTTCCATACAACAAATCACCAAGACCTCCTCTGAGGGCTCTTGACTGAGGAGGTCTAGGGCTGAACCCAGCCAGGCTGAAAGCCAATACAGAGCCCGTTAGCCCATGCAGTTACTTCTTTTTTTTCCTCAACAAATAATACCCGTCCTCCTCTGCAGCCTCAGTCCAACCCTAAATTTCCCAGCGCTCATAGAATAAGTGAGCCAAATTGTGTGTGTGTGTGTGTGTGTGTGTGTGTGTGTG